TGTCTGATGGCCTAAAACGCTGGTTTGTTGTTTATTTGAACGAAGTTCTTTGCAGAATCTGGTTTCCCGTGCCCCAAGAAGAGGAATCCTTCTGATCATTTCCTGCGATGTATAAACTCGGATTTCGATACAGTCACAGCTACACTCAAAGGATCTCAAAGAATTCAGGTGTGAGAAAAAACCATTGATATCTTAATCTTTGTCAAGAACAATCTTTTCATTACGATTTAGTCATGGTCGATGTTTGTTCTATTACAGGAAACACCAGCTGCATCAGATCCACTGATGAATCTAGCAACACCTGTGATCAGAGCAAGGCTTGTTGAGAACTATCGGCGTTCTAAGTATGCAAAATCCGCAAAATCAAGAATTCAAGAACTAGCTAACATGGTAAGTTCAAACTCTTTATTCATTGTATATTTCAACTTAAATCATGAGCTGGTTTGGATTCCATAACGAGTTTTTGTATTGTTTTTGCAGGATGGGCATGAGATGGAAGTGAGAAAAGGAAGTGAAGCGAGCTGGTGGAAACAACTTAGGACTTTAACAGCAAGATCATTCATAAACATGTGTCGTGATGTTGGTTACTACTGGACAAGGATAGTGAGCTACATTGTTGTTTCTATAAGCGTAGGGACCATATTCTACGACGTAGGCTATAGCTACACATCAATCTTAGCCCGGGTTTCATGTGGCGGATTCATCACCGGTTTCATGACTTTCATGTCCATTGGAGGCTTCCCTTCTTTCCTTGAAGAGATGAAGGTAAATAACTAACCTTAATTACATATCACAAATCTTGATTTGCTCTCTATCGATGAAAACACGATATTTTGCCTTGTGGCAGGTGTTCTATAAAGAGAGGGTGAGTGGATACTACGGAGTTGCGGTTTATATACTCTCGAATTACATCTCTTCTTTCCCGTTCTTGGCTTCGCTTTCGGTTATCACGGGAACTATTACTTACAATCTGGTGAAGTTTCGTCCGGGGTTCTCGCATTACGCTTTCTTTTGTCTCAACATCTTCCTCTCAGTCTCTGTGATAGAGAGTCTCATGATGGTTGTGGCTTCTCTTGTTCCAAACTTCTTGATGGGTCTTGTCACTGGAGCTGGTCTCATTGTAAGAACAGAGCATCCTCTGTTTTCTTTTTCTTCTAAAGAAACCATAAAAGCTTATCGAAAAACAAAAATCTTAAATGTGATTTCTGTTTTAATTTTTGGAAAGGGAATCATCATGATGACTTCTGGATTCTTCCGTCTTCTTCCTGATCTCCCAAAAATCTTTTGGCGTTACCCTGTTTCCTACATAAGCTACGGATCTTGGGCTATTCAGGTAAGTCAAGAAAGTAACTTTATGAGCTTATCTGAATTCAAGAACATAAAGACGTTTCCGGGTTATCGAAAAGATTGAATCTTCAGGTTTCAAAACATAAGAAACATATGGAATGTTGCAGGGAGGATACAAGAACGATTTTCTCGGATTAGAGTTTGAGCCTCTATTCCCGGGTGAGCCGAAAATGACAGGAGAAGAAGTGATAAACAAGGTGTTTAAGGTAAAGGTGACACATTCAAAATGGTGGGACTTAGCTGCGGTTGCGGGAATTCTTGTGTGTTACAGGCTTCTCTTCTTCGTGGTCTTAAAGCTGAAAGAGAGAGCAGGACCAGCTATAAAGGCGATTCAAGCGAAAAGAACAATGAGGAATCTTGACAGGAGACCTTCTTTCAAGAGAATGCCGTCTCTGTCTCTGTCATTGTCGTCAATGTCTTCAAGGAGACATCAGCCTCTCCGTTCACTTTCTTCTCAAGAAGGCCTTAACTCTCCAATCCACTACTAAAAGACTTAATATAATGTATGATTTCACTTTGTTCTGCAACTTTTTCCATCATATGATCTCACTCATTACCAGCTTTGTTATTGTTGGAGAATAAAAAGAAAGTAGTAACAAAGTTTTGTTTACTAAACACTACCCAAACTTTTAGTAGATGCAGGTACAATCTTCTCTATAGAAGCTTCTGCATTTACATTAGCAATGACATCAGGATCATCATAATCACTTTATAATACACATTATTTGTCACTATAATATCTCTCAAACTCTGATTAAAGACAGCGAACAATACCGAGAATGCTAACGTGCAGAGATATAACGACCGAGACTCACTCTACCGAAAAAGTATCATTTTTTTGTGTATGACATAACATTTATGAAGCATGCATTTTAATTGTTAAAACATACATGTTTAAGATTATCAAAATGTTAACGTATTTTTGAAGTTATTGATGTCCATGCCATTATCCAGCAAGACAAGGAAACACAATGTGAAAGAATCCTTTTTAAGGAAACACAATGTGAAAGCTAATGGTGTGGTTACACATTAGTTTTGATGCAAAAGAAAAATTGGAGAGATGATCCATATACCAAATAATGTGGCCATTTGAGTCAAGATTCAAAACTCTGTAAAAGTCTACTGACCTTTTATTTTTGGAGACAAGACAAAAATGTCAAGATATTGGTCAAAAAATAGATTTTGCTGACTTCTTCCCATTTATTTTAGGAATATATGGACACCTAAAGTTTTCTTTTTGTGACCAAATTAAAGTCAATAGTAAGTAGAATTTGAATCGGTAGTCTCTCACAAAAGTACAAAAAGGAATTCACATGCAATGAAAATTAAAGCTTTGAATGGTGCACAGATTATATAATGAAGATCATTTTAAGGAGATCAAAAAAATATTAATAAAAAAATAAATAAATCTACATGCTGAACTGGGTGAACAGCTGCTATTTTACAGCAGTTCTGGAAAAATATATTTTTCTTTGATATATAGAGTATTAAAGATCTACATGCAGATCTATTAATTTTATATTAATATCTTCTGTTTTGCATAAAATTTGTGAATGGTAAAAAAAAACAAATCATCTTTATATACAGATTAACTGCATTTTTTTTTGCATTTATTCTGTTATCCATTCAAAGACCAAGTATGGTAATCAATAAAAATTCGCTAAGTGTAAACTCTGTCATTGACGTTTTAAACGATAATAGTTGAAGTGACGCAATATCCACAGAGGACAATAAAATTCATATACAGGACTTTAGTTGTTAGGAAAAAAATAACATAGTTGTGTGCAGACTAAAAAAGGGAATATACAGACAAAGGAAATAACAGAATATAAAGTCAACTTGCTTTGACCAATAAAAAATAAAGTCAACTTGCTTGAATATTTCCATGAAACAGAAATTGCCGTCCAAGTCGAGTACTGCATTTTGCTAATCACCAGCTTCGCAAAAAGCAAATCCAAAGCGTTCATTAGATTTATGGTTTACATATAACCACGTGTCGTAATCTTGACGCACTAGAAGCGTGCACTCGTTGGATGTAGTGGAACCAAAATCACACGACCACACACCGCGTGAGATTGAAGGACCAGAAAAATCAAAGTCCTCTAAAAGCAGCCACGCGTCGTTGAGGGCCCACTTATATCTGTATTTGATTTGACGAAATAAATTAATTAATGGCGTTAAGTCGTTAACTACTAACTCGTAATCACTAATCAAGAAATAATCGTCAGATGAGATGAATATCATTATAAATGAACTGAAATGTAATGTCAGTTTGGTTTATTTTCTTTTGATTTGTCATTTTGGTTTTCCTTATAAGTGTTCATGGAATCGAATTACTGTATCTTGAAAATTGACTTACTTGATCGTTAAACCGCCAATGTGTGTGGTTATTTTCTACTTGTTGGTCAACAATCTAACCTTAAATTAATACTGCAGTTTTTTAGTTTACTACTTCAAAATCTTTTTCAATACAACTATTTTGATGTCACTAATAAGAACCATTATCTTCTTTAATTTATAAACATTATCTGAATTCGGTCAGTATATTATAGTCGATCATGAATGATTAGTTGATCATATTGTTGACCAAGTATTCCGAAAGATAATAATTAAAATTTAAAGCTAAAACATATACCGCGATGGACATTTCCCAATCAACAAAAATAACTGATTTATAAATTAAAAAAAATGGAAACTTAATAAAAATCAAAACGTATGTACGAGAACCGAAGATGGAAAACTTTTTTCAATAAAATACTATTAAATCATTTGTTTTAGAGTATTATGTATTTTCTTACGCAAAAGGTAAGATTAAGGTGTATATTGTGTTTTGGAATCTATATAAATTCACATGATCACATATTCAGGTGAAGCGAAAAATTATAGAAACATGTATCACTTTTTTTGTTTATCCGAGTCCTCGAAACTTCAACAACTCCCAAATTTATCATCTTGTCACTAATCATTTAAAATAAATAGGTTTTGTTTATAAAAAAACCTATAATATTAATAAAAAAATAATGGAAACTATTGCAGTTTTAGTTTTATGACCTGATGTTAGAGTAAATCAAACTGTTCGTAAGACATTGAAAAGAAACAGAATTCTTTATAAAATACCCGAATATTGCATAAATGGATAGAGGATGTTTTCTGTATGTAAATATCAGATCAGTGATCGAATTTCATCGACTACAAAATTGTTATTTGGTTATTATAGAATATCCGAATTCGTATTTATCTCTTGATTAATTTGGATTTCAGTGTATAGTTTACCCAATTATTACAAACAAATTCTTAAGAAATTCATCCCTCTAAGAATATCTTAAATCACTTTTGTTTTCTTGTTTTTATAATAGTATTGCCAAGGAATCAAGTTAATCTTCTTGTATGACCTTAAATTCTTTCATTTAATGATGATATTTACACTCTTAATTAGCAAAAAAAAAAAATCATAAACAACAGTAAGAAAAACTGTAAAGGGACGTAAAATTTTAAGTGTGAAAAATGTAAAAAGAAAGACTCTGAGATCCTTTTTCATAATTATTAATATTATTATATGGGTTCACTTTCTGTCTCTCTCTCTCTCTTTTGTTTTGTCTGATTTATATATACAGAGAAAGACTTTATTTGGGGGTCAAATATGTGATCCGCTCGTTATCTTCAAAGCAATTACTGTTTCACCAAAAAGTTGGATGCTTACGACTCTTCCTTCCCATTTCTTCCCTGTATATGTATAAATCTGCCGTCTTGAGATGATTTTCCATAAGCTTCTTCTTCGTGTGACGCACTTTTGATCTCTCTCTCTCTCGCGTCTTGGATCATATAATTCAATGTCGACCTACAAGCTCAATTACACTGTAACTTGTTCAATCTCTCCTTCTTCGCTTTCTTTTTTTTAGTCACTCTCTATTCCTTTCTGCTTAGCCGGTTCATGAATTGGCTTTTGCGTGTTTTCTTGCTGTTTATTTTTCGTCTTCAATTTGGGATTTTAAAGCAATTATGTTGAGCTGGTAAAAGCTCTCTTTTAGGGATTTATGAACGCCGGAAATTTCGTTTGTTGAAATTGGTTCGGAAATGAAAAATGTGTGAGAGAAAGATTCCTCCTTTAATTCTATTGAGCTTCGTAGTGATGAAATTGTTCTAGAGGAATTGGTCTTTTTGGTTCATGGTTATGTTTCTGAATCAGAAAACGTTTTAACTTATTGGGGTTTCTTAGCAGGATTCCTTTGTAAATGGAGATGCAAACGGTTTGCGCTCAAACCCAGAGAGTGGTTTCAGTGATCTGTCTTCACTTGCTCAGTCAGAGAAAGCTGTTCAGGAGCTTCTTATCCAACAGACTCCGATGCAGGCAACAGATGATCACCTCATTGAGTTTTCAGAGGCTTTAAGAAGTAAGCTTTTTTTCTTTTTGGTTATGTTCGAAGCAAAAGCTTCATGCTTTTTGTGTGTTTATTTGCACTTAACTTTGAGTTTCTTGCATGTTTGTTGTAGCTGTTGCAAAGGCTCTAAGGGGATCTGCTGAAGGAAAGGCGTTGGCTCAAGCTGAGGCTGCTGAATGGAAGCGAAGATATGAGTTGGAGAGGTCCAAGAACCTAGAGTTGCTCCATAAAGGTTCTTTATTGACTTCAAAAACGGCCGTTTTAAGTTTCTGCTAACTAAGTAGCTTTAGATAACTTGCTTGACTTTCACCAATTAGTCCTGGTAGCTTTGATTTTGAATGGCGCTTTTGGCCATGGATGTGTTTTGAATAGCATATACTTCTGGCTTGTTTCACAGTGCCGTTAAATGGAGTGCACGCCGAGGAATCTCATAGCCATGGGATGGATCACTCAGCCAAGTCTCCGCGGCTTCGTGTTCAGGAAAATGGGAAATTGGGAAGGCATTCCATGGAGCGTATTTGCTCTCATGAAGTGCTCCAAGATGGTGAATATAACAGTTGTAATGGGGGCAACAACAAATTAAAGCGAAAGGTAATTTGTTGTGATCCAGCTCTTGCTTATATATTTTTGTGTATGCAAGTCAATAAACATAACTAGGCAACGTTTAGTAGTATCAACCCTTATGTATTTCTTGTAGTTAATCTTGCTTTAGGCTTTGTTGGACTTGACATTCTACCATCCGACGTAGAACATCAATTTAGATGAGTATAGTTTTGCTTTAGGACAGGATTCTCACATTTTCTGTATCCCAATACTGTTGCATTCAAAACCTGGCTGTAATAGTAAAGGAAACGTTAAGCCATAGCAATAAATGAAAACTCTTTCCTGTGCACTTCACGTCTTTGCATGTGGTGTATTACGTTTTCAAAATCTGTTTAACGTGTGGTTGCAGGCATCGTTTAAGCTTTCATGGGGATGCAAGGGTCAGGCTAATGATCAACACAAGAAAGAAATTGTCTCGTTTGAGAGAGGGAACATCACTACAGCAGACCGCAGTAGTAAACAGGTATCCAGTGTTGTTTCATCGTCTCTATCCTTCAATTTCTGCTCTCTGAATTTACAACTAAGGGAAACTACATGTTTCCGTACTTAGAATATCCTAAAGAACTTCTTATTACAGATTTCACTGACATGGGAGAGCAATCCACAAAATGTGCTTATTTTCACTAAACCTAATTCAACTTCTGTACGAGTTCTTTCTGTGGAAATGGTCAGGTCAGTACTTATATTTGTGCAGTCTCAGAAGGATATCGTTAAGATTATGTTACACTAACCATATGATTAGTTTCAGTATGTGTCTCTGAATTGGTGTTGGAAGGTAAAAAAGTGTTGCTTAAGATGAAGTAATATCATATTTTTATTTTGTTTCCACTTCAGATGGTTGAGAGAGCATAAAGGACTTGATATTTACGTGGAACCACGAGTAAAAGCAGAACTTTTATCAGAATCAAGTTACTTCGACTTTTTACAAACTTGGGAAGATGGTAAGATATGATACATGCATAGTCTCTTCAGACTATTTTCTGCATCCCAGGCTCCAGGTTCCAACATTGTTGTATGCTCATGCATGATGCTTTATATTAACATTTAGCTATACCTCAATATTTTTCATTGTGATTGCTTTTGAGTCCCAAGACGAGTTTTGAAAGCTTAGATACGTATACAAAATGCTTCATTTTTACCATCTGATCATTTATTGTTTTGCAGACAAAGAGATTTCACTTCTACACCCAAAGGTTGATCTTGTCATAACTCTTGGTGGGGATGGTACAGTCTTATGGGTAAAGTCAATCTGACTCAAGTTTATATCATTTCACATTTGTCCCTTTATAACATCACATACAATTTAACATAGAACACCTTAACGGTTACAGGCAGCATCGATGTTTAAAGGACCAGTGCCTCCAATAGTTCCATTTTCCATGGGATCTCTGGGATTCATGACTCCTTTCCGTATCCTTCATCTTTTCTTTAACCACAGTCCTATAATCATCAGTTCAAATTAGCAGCATTTTATCTGTCATTAGAACTTTTCTTTAACTCTGATCGAAGACAGCGAACAATACCGAGAATGTCTTGAAGCGGTTTTGAGGGGTCCAATCAGTATAACACTACGACACAGGTTGCAGTGTCACATCATCAGAGACAAAGCAAGGCATGACTACGAGACAGAGGAGAACATGCTTGTTCTTAATGAAGTCACCATTGACCGTGGAATATCATCTTACCTCACTAACCTCGAATGCTACTGCGACAACTCATTTGTCACATGTGTGCAAGGAGACGGGCTAATACTATCTACAACATCTGGTAGCACCGCGTATTCACTTGCAGCTGGTGGCTCAATGGTCCATCCACAGGTAACATGGCCCCTCATTCTTTTGTGTTGCTCCATAGCTACTGTTGTTTTCAGATTTTATGGACAATATTGTAAACTTAAATGTCTTGCAGGTTCCAGGGATCTTGTTCACACCAATCTGTCCGCATTCTCTGTCTTTCCGGCCACTGATATTACCGGACCACGTGACGGTGAGAGTGCAAGTGCCGTTCAACAGCAGAAGCTCTGCGTGGGTATCGTTTGATGGGAAAGGTAGGAAACAGCTTGAAGCAGGGGATGCACTAGTGTGTAGCATGGCACCTTGGCCTGTCTCAACGGCTTGCCAAGTCGAATCGACTAATGACTTCCTACGTAGCATCCACGATGGTCTTCACTGGAACCTAAGAAAGACTCAAAATTCTGATGGCCCTCGTGACTAACAAATTTTCTCCAGGATTTCTCTAAATCATTATACACATAGTCTTGGCATCTATTTATCTATCTATCTGTTTGCATATAGATAAATATGTAAAGGAAAGTGATTTGGTTCCGTGAGAGAATTTGGTTGTATCCATTGTTGGGTGTAAAGAAAATGTAGTATGTAGCTGCTATGACCATTAATTCACTCAAAGTTAATGTGAATCCAAGATGTTTCTGTTCCGTCTCTCTCTCTCTCTCGTTCTAAACTTGAAAACTGTGTCTCAACTGATTTTGTATACATTGATCCCGTTTCCAAAATGCTTAAAAGCTGTCTTTATAACTGCTTCGCGCTTACATTTAGGATCCTGACTACATAAATTCCTAATGTGCATAACCCAACTACTAAATTCAGCACACAGCTGTGTCGCGGCAGAGAAGAACACAGCATTGCCTGAAACCAAAACATTCAAATAATAAAAAAAATCATTCGATGTATCTTGCTACGGTTTTTGTGTGTTGCATACATCAAGATTAGTGGACTTACTTCGTTAATAATAAGATTCATCATCGTCATCACCATTTACACTGACATCGATATCTTGATCGACTACTGCTTTGCTTTTCGTTCGTACAGTTCTCCCTGACGCTTTTAATGGCTTTGCCTTTTCCGCCTGTAACTCCATACCTTTCTCTGATGGTTTCCTTTTTCTCTTTCCTCGTGTTTCACCCATTTCTTCTACAAGAGAAAGCCACATGCATTAGTAAAGAAAGCATCATAGATTCATGCAGACCAGACATCTATTCAGACAGACTTACAAGTGCATTTTTTCTCAAAACTGTGTTTTTTCATATGAAGCTGTTAAGAACTTTCTTACCTCCTAGTGGACTTGCAGCATGGTCTGCCCCATGTCCATTCTGACCAGCCTCTTCAGAAGCAGGAGACGCAGATATCTGAGCTTCGATTAACTTTATCTCGTCTTGTTGCTCATTTGTATCCGGGATCGGCTCAGCTGGAAGGTAACGGAGTTCCTCCACTGACACATCTGAATCACTGAAAGCATCCTTTTCCACTGTCTCTATGTCAATTTCTTCATCTTCATTAACATTTGATACTTTCACCTACATGCATACAACCACATATATTCAGAAAAACAGGTGATAGAATAATAATAGAGAATCCTTATGCATCTATCGATTCAATTTCTCACCTTTTCTGTTTCAGGTATCAAATCAAATTCATCTTCTCGTTCCACATACTCTTCATTCTCCTCAAGCTCCTTGAAATCAGGCGCAAATGCGCTCCAATTCTCTGTGTAATCTTTTGCCCAAATGTATACTAGACCAGCCAAGGAAACAGAGACGATTAAAGGGTGAACAGGGTGCCACGCTAGATCAATCAACGCTTCTTTTGGACCTTCCAATATTTTCACAAGATGCCCCGCTCGATCCCATATGTAGATCTTATGTTCTCCTTTGCATGCAGAGCCACCAACAACCCACTCACCATCACCACTGAAACAAGGAGCTTTCCAGTGCATTTTGGTAACCGAATCTTGGAACTCCCTGAAGAGCATTAAGCATTTCGATCCAACAGTCTTCAATTTCTCAACACCATCAAGCCCATCTATGCTCTTACCCAAATCCTCGAGTGATCTAAGCACGTTTTTCGCCGGGAGAAGATTCTCATATATCCTAATGGTACGGTCGTGTGAATTCGTGAGAAGATACTGCCCATTCCTGCTAAACACTATGTTTTTCACCGGCGATGCGCCAGAGACAGGAACCAAAGCAAGAACTCGAACACTTTTATAATCTATAATAAGTATCTCTCCTTTGGAGTTTCCTATGTAAACGAGATCACCATTCTTATTAAAGCAAGCTGCAGCTGGAGAGAAAGGAGGACCTGATTCAGGACATTTGCTGCGTTGTGGAGGAGCCAACACATCTGGCATCTCAGGCACAGACACAGGAAGCAAAGTCGTGCAGCCAATGTCAAAGTCAACAATCATCGGAGCAGACGAGAGAGGACACGCGAGACAAAGAGAAGGTGAGCTTAAGCCAGGGTTTAAGCGAGCATGCAAAGGAGTCTGTTGAAGAGTTGTCCGAGCAATCCTTTCTCCGCTTGGGACATCCCAAAGAGTTAGTGACTTGTCTGCAGCTGAAACAAGCAAGCGGTGTCCATACTTTGACCAGGAGACACTTGTAATCGCGGCAGAACAATCATCATCGCGAATCTCCTTTGCAATGCCTCTAGTTTCGAAATCCCAGATTACACAGGTCCCATCCGCACATCCAGCTAAACAAATTGCAACGATGCAAGATATATCAATTCCGAAAGTAGCCTAAACTAAATCGATTAATCCAAAATGGAGAAAAATACATGAGATGCAAAATTTACCTGCCAGAAGAGAACCACGGTGATTAAAAGCAACACATTTGATGACACCATGCTCCAAATATTCTTCAATCACCTCAGGAAAATCTCCTTGCAATGGATCTACACAGACAAAAATACACCCCAGAAAGTGAATAAGTAATGACGAGTGTTGAATAACATTGAGAAAGGAAGCATAAGTGGGAATTGAGTTCACCTATGATCGGAGCATTCATATTCTCTTGCCGGTCTTCTTCTACACGGCCGGCTCTGAGGGGAGTGAAAACTAGCCCTCCGATATTAGGGTTTCTACGACGCAACAAAAAAAAAATAACAGTTATGGCCAACTAATTAAGATTTGGAACTGGAGAAATTAGGTTTTATCAATGTCTGTACTTCAGTTAAAACCTTCGAAGAGGGAGAAAACTCACATTTAGAAACGAAATCGAAGAAGCTTGGATAGATATTAAAACGAAATCGAAGAAGCTTGGTTTCGGAGTAATTGATCGCAAGGATGAACTTGAGAGAGCGAACGCAGTCAGAAGAGCGATTAAAGGCGTTTAAAACTTTTGTATTAACGGCGTTTAAAACTTTTGTATTAACGACGTTAAAACTTTTGTTCGACTACGATTACTAATTATTAGTTATCTAATTTGAAAAAAAAAAAAAAAAAAACTTAAGACGCCAAATACGTTTTAGCATTCGAAGAGACAAAAAAGTCATCTACAGACTACAAAATCCAAAAAAATGATAAATGTTGGAGTATATTATGCATGTGCAAAGCAAACTCTTTTTCCCGTTTAAAATGTAAGAATTAAGATTCAAAACACATAGCAAAAACTATTAGGGGCTAATTGGTTGCCTTACTGTTACGATTTGAATGTGTTGATAACAAAAAAATGGATTTTGAATGTTTATGATTATTTGTATCGATTATTTCATACACTAACACATGGATCCACATGTGGGCCGCACACACAGAAAGTATCTAGTCCACTTTTGCGAGAGCCCCTCATATGGTTTTTCACAACAAAGATAGAACATGACACGTGGCAATAACCCATTTGCACAAAAATCATATTTGGATAAGGTAATGGATAATTTCTCCACAAACTCTAACGCTGAACACAGAATCAAACTACCCCAAACTTCTTAAAACACATTCCACCATCTCACAAGCATTAACTGAGAGAGCTAACGAGAGAGAAAGTGTAGAATCAAACGTTAGGATTCAATCAACTATCAAGAAATGGCATCGATGACCATGACAGCCACATTCCTACCTGCCGTCGCTAAGCTTCCCTCAGCCACCGGCGGACGAAGGCTCTTGGTGGTCAGAGCTTCAACGAGCGAGAACACGACCGGCTTAGAAATCAAGGCCAAGGAGGAAAAGAACAGCACCACAATGAGGAGGGATCTCATGTTCACGGCGGCGGCTGCGGCGGTTTGTTCCTTGGCTAAGGTAGCCATGGCGGACGAGGAGGAGCCCAAGCGAGGGACAGAGGCAGCTAAGAAGAAATACGCTCAAGTTTGTGTCACAATGCCTACGGCCAAGATCTGCCGCTACTGATTCAACAATTTACCTTCCCATATGTCTCTCCCTCTCCCTTTCAATTTCGGTAAAGTTTCATAATTAAGTTTGGTATGTAATCATATATTTGATCCATTCACTAAAAAACCCTTTTGTCTTTCGACTAGAATCGTTCCCTTTTCACCATTCAACAAATCTTGATACTGAATACAACATAGTTTCCGAAAGCTAGACTAAAAACCAAAACGTCCAAGATTAGAAGACCAAAGCCTAAATCATACTTAGACTAAGAAACTGAAAACCGAAGAACCAAACTAAAAAAAGACTGATATGTCCACCTCACGAGTTAGCCTACTAAGTGAATAGCAGCTAAAACTAAGAGGTGAGACGATTTGTACCTTGAATCACCTGCAAACGCAGAACAATGCCTCTCTCTTCCCATGCGGTTTTAGCAAAAACTTTCCCAGTCTTGTCCATAATAGTGCATTCACCAGCTTCCATCATCACTGTACACCCTCTCGATGTCATCTGACCAACACTCAACACATTTCTGTTAATCCGAGGAACAAAAAGCACATTCTTAATTGTCTTCTTCACTCCTTTCATCATGATTTCAACATCTCCTTTCCCTTCAGCCATGAGAACCTTTCCATCCGCCAATAAAACCTGACCCTTGTACGTTCTGTCTAAACTCGCGAAGAACTTCACATACGGAGTCATGTGATCAGAGGCATTGGTGTAAACCATCCACATATCCTCATCGAACGTGAAACCACCAATAGTGACAGCTAACATCAAATGTACATGCTTCTCGTTCCTCTTTTGATCTACCTGAGCCTCCTGTTGCTGATTCCTTCTGCTGCAATCTCTTGCATAGTGACCTCCTTCTCCGCATTGATGGCAATTGCCTCTAAATTGCTTCCTGGCACCACTCGAGTTCTTTGCCACAGGGTTGTAGTAACAGTCTTCGACGTTGTGATTGTACTTCTTGCACAGGCCACACCACATCTGCTCAGACTTGGCTTTCTTAAGACTTGTATAGAAATCCCTCAACATGTGAGCCATGGATTCTGGATGATCTCCGAACAGATCAAACATATCAAGAAGATCTTTAAGAGTCATATCAGGGAGATCCATGATCTCCTCCAACACCGGAGCTGCACCTTCATAGTCACATGACAGTGAGGGTAACAGCTTCCTGATAAACTCATCATCGGATTTCGGATTATCTGAACGGCGAGATCGTTCAACAATATCATGAACTCTTTCCAGGTAAAACTCCATCGGTTCTCCATAATACATGCTAAGTTCTTCGAATTCCTTCTCTAACCTACGCAATTTCGCTTCTTCGTTACCTTTCTCGAGCGAATCCCAGAGATCCTTGGCCGAAGCAGCCGAGATTGTCTTCCTGAATGCCGATTCCGTGAGAGAAGATTGCATTATCTGGAGCGCTTTCATGTCTTTGACCACACGATCTCTCCATTTGGCGAGATCTTCGGCTTGAATCGTAGCTGCTAACTCCGGAACCTTCGTTGGATCCGGAGGGACTCCGTTCACAACTGCATCCCAAACTCCTTTCCCCACTAGTCTAGTTTTCGCCATTTGAGCCCAGGTTTCGTACTTGAGCTCCTCGAAAACAGCGTCTGGTATTTTCTCCGCCGCCATAGCCGCAACTGTGGATTCGTCAAACCTTTTTCCTCTGTATATTCTCTTGGAGCAAGGAAAGGCGAATAAACTATTCCTTTGACACGAATAATTTATATTTTTATAGTGAGGTCCATTAAACCAAATCGTTAAACCCTATAAGTTCAATCTCGAGAAAATTACCAAATGAGCAGTGACTCGGTTTCGGTTCTATTCATGGTTCGGGAGCAGTGGCTCGGTTTTTGGTTCAATTCTTGGTTGGGTTTAACGCCATTAAATGTAATTGCTTTATCCTATAATATATATTTAAAATAAGTTAATTCGGTAAAGTCTTAAGTTAATATGATTAAAATGCAATTCACTCTTGAATTTATTTGATACGTAGTTTCCAGAACGGTTTTGGTTTGGATATAATTGGGACGCAAGTATGGTTCATTTAGATTGGTTTGATCCGGTTAAGTGATTCAGCGATGATGATCAACAAGAGTTGATGGTGACACTAATCACAACAAGATGGATTCATCAACAAGCTTTGATCCAACGCATAACGGAACTTAGACAAAAAAAAATTTAAATATCATTCCCATTCCCAATATCTTCATTGCGCACTTCTTCAAAAAAAGACTCGAATCTACTATCACCAATACCAACCTCTTCTTCTAATGGATCTTCACCTTGATCCTCAACAACGTTTTCCTCCTGCTGTTCACCATTATCAGAATCATCACTATCAGATTCTTTTTGTTGAGCTTCATCGGGTTTTGCTTGAACAAGGTAGACATCAATTTCACCTGTTGTCATAGCTTCGCTGCACATCTTCATAATCTCAACATCTTTTTTTTCGCAGATTCTTGCTACATCCTCGTGTTTCAGCTTGTACCAAACTTGTTCGACTAACCCAGGTACTCCTTTTTCTTCGCAGAATTCATCAAATATGGACCACATCACGTAATCTGGATCCAATACAATGCCTTCCTCCACTAAACCTCCACTGTATCTGAAAATATTGTCCTTCATCGAAACCTCTCCTCCATAGTGTATATCGACTTGGAAATGGTCACTGCGTTAAGAAGAAATCAAGTTACCATCGATTTTCCGAGTCAAATAAACCCTAAGCCATATCGAAACCCCAAATCAAAACCCCATTTCGAAAAACCCCAAATCGAAAACCCCAAATCAAAATCGTGTTTCATAAGACATACCTCATCTTCACAATTACTCTTCTCAGTCTTCTATACATTCTATACGCACTATTTCTCCTTCAATTTAAGCTTCCAACAAAGCTTTCTCTCGATTTGTGAATGACATTTCGAAAATTAGGGTTCTAGGTTTTTTTTTCACAATCGATTTGGGGGTTTTCTTAAGGGGTAACAGTGGAACTAATAAAACATAATTTAACACGTGTTACGGAATGTTAACGATGTTTAGCAGATCTGTTAACCCAGTTAACAACAGTTAAATGAGAGGTGGGAAAACAGCACTTTTAAAACTGTAGGTTTTTTTTCGTCTCAAAAAATTAGTTTGTGGGTTTTTATAGCAACGCAAAAAGTTCGTAGGTGAATCTTCCAAAAAAAATAAGTGAGGTATTTTTTGGCATTTTTCCGTTTAAAAACTTCAAAATAGGCATGGTTTTGGTTCGGTTCGAGCTTCGGTTTAGTGCAATTGGGGCCAAAGAAGGGCTTATACTGCTCGCCTTTGTTTGGTTTGATATATTCATTCAGTCAAAATACAAATAAAACAGTTTGAGCCGCAATTGTTTAAATGTTTCTCGACTTTTTTTCCTCTTGGAGAGAAAGAGGGTGAAAAAACTATTCCCTCATCCAAACACTTTCGATTTTATACCAACCGATTTACATAGTGACATTATACCAAACCGTAAACCCTGTTAATAATTTAGTTTAGTTGTTATTATTTTTATAAACATTCAATAACTAAATCTAATATAAGATCTAAATTATATATAACCCAAATAACGTTAGATATAATTCTATTTTAGATCAAATTATTTATGATCCAAATAACCCAAATCTGATCCAACTTAAAAAACTTGATCCAAATTTTATGTAGATCAAATTTGGTTAAATAGTTCTCAAACTAATTAACCCAAACTCAATCCAAAATCTAAGAAACCTAACCCAAAACTTGGATTGGCCACCCCTAATACTATATAGTGAAAGTAAATTAATTCGGTCAAATCCTATGTTTATATGATTAGAATGCAATTCACTTTGAATTTAGTTGATACATAGTTTCCGGAACGGTTTTGGTTTGGACATAATTTGGGATTGTTACGAATATCAATTTTGGTCAAGTCTGGTTTAGTTTAGGTGGTTCGATCCGGTTAAAGTGATTTAACCGACACCACACACACAATATTCTCTCCAGCTATGATCAACAAGAGTTGGTCATGATTCGGACACTAATCACCACAAGATAGATGAATGTATCTGTATAAAACCCAGTAGCTGATTTTTTTGATCCAAAGCACCTCGGAACTTGACAAAACATACCACAGTGAATAACAAAAAGTGACAAGGCAATCCAAGGTTATAAAACACCATACTTTTGATAGCTTGGTCTTAAACGAACAGAACAAAAACTACATAACAAGACTCTGATATCTCCACCTTAATTAAGAGTAAAGTCTATTACCAGATTTATTCAGAGTGAAGTTAAAAAAACACACCTACAGGGTGAGATTACCTTCAATGACCTGGAAACGCAGAGCAAATCCCCTCTCTTCCCCCATTGTTTCCCCAAATACATTCTCATTCTGATCCATAAGAGTGCATTTGCCTCCTCCAATTGTCATTGAATAGCCTAATCTTCCCAACTGAACAACACTCAACACGTTTCTGTTGATATCCGGAACATAAAGCACATCCTTGATCGTCTTCTCTCCTTCATCCGTCATGATCTTCACGTCTCCTCTACCTTGAGCCATGATGATTGCTCCATTGGCCAATTTCACTCGAGCCCTGTGTGTTCTGTCCAGATTGGTGAAAAACTTCACATACGGAGTCATGTGGTTCGTGGTCGTTGTGTAAATCATCCACATGTCCTCATCATATGTGAAATCGCCCAGAGTTACCGCTAACATCTCATATTCTGCTACGACTCCTTCGTATATATCGGAAACTGCGTCTTGAATGTTAGCCGCCACCATTGCCGTAAACGTCAGGAATTCTTTGTAGCTACAATTCTCTCGGAGAAAGTGATTAGTTTTACGACCCTAACTTCTTCTATTTATACCGTGACATTAAACCAGATCGGTAAGCCCTAAAGTTTAATTACCATCAATTGAGACGTTTAGGCTCGGTTTTTGGTTCGGTTTACTATAGTTGGAGGTTATATTCAACCCAAGTTTATTTCATTACGGTCAAGTATTTGTCTCAGTTCCAGATTCGTCTCATTTTGACTCCCTAAATGAGTTCTCAAAATGGGATGAGTTATTATTGTAAAGCGATATCAAATTTGGTTGAGTCTGGTTCAGTTAAATGGTTTGATCCGGTTAGGTGATTACCA